GGGGCGGTGAGGGGGCAGGGCCAGTTTCACCTCGCGGTGGCCCCGGCGTGGCCCCGGGAGCGACCTAGGCCTGGGTGCTGGGGCCGTACGCACCGCCGCTCAGTCCGTGGGGTTGCGGTCCTCTGGGTATTTAGCTGTGGCTGCAGTCCCTTCTGCCCGCCCAGGACGGCGCCTTGTCACGGCCGGAGCGCTGCACCTCCGGCACCGCACTATCGCACTGTCCCCGAAGGCCACGGTTGTCTCCTCCTTTCCCGGCTGTTTTGTTTTTAAACCAGTCCCTTTTATCACTTCTAACCTGCCCATCACAGGACACCAACTGTTGCAAGTTCCGTAATAACTGCTTTTCTGAACTTCTCGGTCGAAACTGCTCTCCTCCCAAGAGTCTATTTAAGAAGCAGAATTAAGAATAAATGCGGGGATGGCGCTGAAGACGCCGAGCTCTCAGATTTTCAAAGGTAAAATGGATGTTTTACTAACTCATTGGAAAACTTCCAAAACCCAATGAAAACTCAAATAAAGCGTTTTGAACTAATAAAGTAAAAATGAAAGTTACTACTAGCAAGGCTGATCATAAGCAAAATTCTCAAGTTGGCATATTCAAAATGCCTCATATGTTGTGCGAAAGGGTTTCAGAAAATCGTCTTCAGTGAGAATGTTATTTCAGAAGAAGGCTTAACTAAAAATACAAAGTCTTGGAATATGGCTTAATTTCAGATTTTAGAAAAGGACTCTACAATGGTTTTGAAGAAGGGGATTTTCAGATGCCTCCTGGAATCATTAAATCACCCCGCACTGGGCACTATCTGTTTCTTTCAAACATAGTATTGGTCTTCATTAACTGTTAATTGGGAGAGGACGTGAAAACAGAGAAGGAAGACTGGGTAACGAAAAGCAAGAGGAAAAAAGAAGAAAGTAAAAACAAAATTTAAAACCATAAGGGACAAGAGAGTCCCCAGTACTCTAGGTTTCTGGTCTCGTCCCCAGTTTTGGGGTCTAAGATTAGGACAGTGCATTGCTGCTTTTAGATATTTAAATTTGAATTTGATGACTTAATTTACATTACAGAAGTGCGTAAAACAAAGTCTTTAAATACTTGACATCAAGGGATCTCATTGATGTATCGATGTATGTGTTTTCAAAGGTAGTGTCTTTAGTTCTCCGAAATAGGCCAAGTCAGAGCGGAATGGCGTGTCTATCGGTAAACAAGACTAGATGACCTCTCGAGCGGGAGTGGTTTCAGATGTTTGGATAGAAAAGCACCGTCTGTCCCCAAAATCGTAAAATCCGTGATCTTTCCACGTTTTCAGAACTCCACAATATTTCACGGAGAAGTCGGAAAGTATTGAGTTTCTGTACACATACTACTATCCTGCGTTGTGAGAGAAAGGGCAAATAAGAGAAAAGATCGCTGTCGACAGCCACTCCTTACCTTTGATATAGCAGGACATCTTGTATCGCCAATCTGAAGCTTTCTTTGTTCACCACTAGGTGGTGTGTATAGGTCTTTTGTAGCTTTTAACCAACTTTCTATGGCATTTGGAGAAAGTTTCATAAAGTTTCAAATAAATAACATGTAACTCTAAAATGAATTAATATGAAAATTTTTTTCAGACAGTCATCCACCATAATTTTTTAAAAAACAATCAAACCAAAAGTTACACTTCCTCAACGTGGTACAGATTCACAGGATTGTAGAGCCCAGCTGCCTGAGTCTCTAATTTGAGGTATGGAATTGGAAGCCCAGAGAAGTAAAGTGACTTGGCCAAGTCACAGAGCTGCTGGGTTGTTGTTGTTAGGTGCTGTCGACTCGGTTCCGACTCACAGGGAAACCTGTATACAACAGAATAAAACACTGCCCACTTCTACACCATCCTCGCTCACAATCGCTGCTATCTTTAGGCCAATTGTTGCAACCATTGTGTCTGTCAATCCATCTCATTGAGGGTCTTCCTTGTTTTCGCTGACCCTCTAGTTTACGAGGTATGATGTCCTTCTCCAGGGACTGGTGCCTCCTGATAACGTGTCCAAAGTACACAAGACAAAGTCTTGCCGTCCTCGCTTCTAAGGAGCTTTCTGGCTTTACTTCTTCCAAGATAGATGTTTGTTCTTCTGGTAGTCCATTCAGTATTCTTCACCAATACCATAATTCAAAGGGATGGATTCTTCTTCGGTCTTCCTTACCTGTTGTCCAGCTTTCACATGTATATGAGACAATTGAAAATACTATGTGGCTTGGAGCTCCGGTAGCCTAAGGCACTTGACTGCTAACCAGAAGGCTGGCTGTTCAAACCCACCAGCCACTCCTTGGAAGGAAGATGGGGCAATAGACTTCCATAGTGATACTGCCTTGGAAACCCAAGGATGGGTCGCTATGAGTCGTTGTTGTTGTTATTATGTCCGACTCGACGGTACATAACAACAACAACAACAGCATAGCTTGGATCAGACATACCTTAGTCCTCAAAGTGACATTTTTACTTTTTAATACTTTAAAGAAATCTTTTACAGCAGATTTACCCAGTGCAATACACCATTTGCTTTCTTGATTGCTGCTTCTGTGGGCATTGATTGTGGATCCAAGTACAATGAAATGCTCGGCAATTGTAGTATTTCCTCAGTTTATCATGATATTGCTTATTGGTCTAGTTGTGTGGATTTTTGTTTTCTTTGTGTTGAACTGCAATCCATACTGAAGGCTGTGTAGTCTTTAATCTTCATCAATAAATACTCCAAGTCCTCTTTGCTTTCAGCAAACAAGTTTATGTCATCTGAATATTGCAGGGTGTTGATGAGTCTTCTTCTAAGCCTAATGCCGCATTCTTCTTCATAGACAGGCATACCTCATTTTATTGTGCTTTGCTTTACTATGCAGATATTGCCTTTTTAAAAAAAAACAAATTGAAGGTTTATGGCAATCCTGCATCAAGCAAGTCTATTGGCACTATTTTTCCAGTGGCCTGTGCTCACTTCTTGTCTCTGTGTCACATTTTGGTAATTCCCACAATATTTCTAACTTTCTCATAATACTATTGCACATTTAACAGACTATGTTGTTGTTGTTTTTATGTGCCATTGAGTCAGACCCAACTCATAGCAACCCCTCCTTGGGTTTCCCAGGCAGTATCACTACGGAAGTAGATTACCCCATCGTCCTTCCAAGGAGTGGCTGGTGGGTTTGAACCACCAGCCTTCTGGTTAGTAGTCAAGTGCCTTAGGCACTATGCTACCAGAGCTCCCCATAGTGTAAACATAACTTTTATATGCACTGGGAAACCAAAAAAAAAAATGTGTGCCTTGCTTTATTGCAGTATTTGTTTTATTGTGGTGATCTGAAATGAAACCTGCAGTACCTCCAAGTATGTCTGTAGCCCAATTTCTTGGATTGTTTGATCAATGTTGTTGTTGTTATGTGCCATCAAGTCGGACCTGACTTATAGCAACCCCTCCTTGGGTTTCCAAGGCAGTATCACTACGGAAGTAGATTGCCCCATCTTCCTTCTGAGGAGTGGCTGGTGGGTTTGAACTGCCAGACTTATGGTTAGCAGTCAAGTGCCTTAGGCACTATGCTACCAGAGCTCCTGTTTGATCAATATACAGATGGAATAAGTATGGTGAAAGGATACAGCCCTGACACACACCTTTCTTGCTTTAAAACTATGCAGTATCCACTTGTTCTGTTTGAACAACTGCCTCTTGGTCTATGTACGGGTTCCGTATGAGCACAATTAAATATCCAGGAATTCCCATTCTTCACAATGTTATCCATAATTTGTTATTATCCACGGAGTCAAATGTCTGCATAGTCAATAAAACACAAGTACACATCTTCCTAGTATTTCCTGCTTTTGGTCAAGATCCATCTGACATTACCAATGCTATCCCTCATTCCATGTTCTCTTCTGAATCTGTTTTGAATTTCTGGCACTTCCCTATCAATATACTGCTGCAACCATTTTTGAATTCTCTTCAGTGCAATTTTATGTACATGATATTAATCATATTGTTCAATAATTTTTGCATTCTATTGGATCACCTTTCTTCGGAACAGGCACAAATATGGATCTCTTTCAGTCAATTGGCCAGGTAATTGTCTTCCAATTTCTTGGCTTAGATGAGTGAATGCCTTCCAATGTTGCCTCCGTTTATCTCAATGGGTATTCTGTCAATTCCTGGAGCCTTGTTTTT